GGTAGGCTTCTGTACAGGGTTCCTTTGTTCACAGCATCCCCATATGTCAGTTTAGGAGACACCGAGGACAGAGTAATTTTGTTTCTCTGTTGTTTGAGACAGAGATGTGAGTGCAGACTCTGAGATCCTCCACTGGGCAAGAGAATCCATCCCCGTCATGAGAGACAATTCATCTTCCTTATAGATGGGGAGGAAGTGTTCATGGCTTTGCCTATACAGCCAGATGTGGTTAGACTTTTGGAAGGTCTGATTTCCCCACGCATCTTTGTCCTGTAATGAGGTTCACATGCAACTTATTCCATCCAGATAGCAAAGTGGGATGGGTGCTCCTAAGGAACAGCCATGCTGAGCTGCCATGTTTCTTCTAGAGGATTCCTAATGAGCATGAGTGGGCGGAACACCCTGAGAAGCCCTGCAGAGGAAGGAACCTGCCCAATTTTAACACAGAACTCCAGTAAACCTGGAACCCCCGATCTCATCCCAGAGACCTGCTTGGAGACTCACTTATATTTTGCTTGTTTCCAAAGGTCTGTGGAGAATAGGGTCATGGAACTTATTTGGGCATTGAAGAATGGGTTTAATCTAGCAGATTGGGGTGAGGGTGCCTGTGATTAATTAATCTTAGTTGACAACTTGGTGTGATCTAGAATCAATGAGCTGGAAGATGGGCCTCTGGGTGTGGCTGTGGGGGGACTGTCTTAATATATATATTCTCCAGTCTCGGTTTTCTTTTGTTGTTGTTGTTTTTTCGAGACAGGGTTTCTCTGTGTAGCTTTGCACCTTTCTTGGAACTCACTCTGTAGCCAGGCTGGCCTCGAACTCACAGAGATCGCCTGCCTCTGCCTCCCGAGTGCTGAGATTAAATAAAGGTGTGCGCCACCACCGCCCGGCCAGTCTCGGTTCCTAACTGTGGGTGCAATGTGAGCAGCTGCGTCACGCTCCTGCTGACTTCACTTACCACCGCGATGTATTTCACCCTTTGCAACTGGAACTGTGAGTCAAAATAACCTGTATCAGTCAGGGTTCTCTAGAGAAACAGACTGATGGAATGAATATATAAATGAGTGTGTGTGTGTGTGTGTGTGTGTGTGTGTGTGTGTGTGTGTGTGTGTTAAAGTTGCTTACAGGCTGTGGTCTGACTATTCCAACAATGGCCGTCTCCTGATGGAAAGTCCAAGAATCCATTAGTGGTTTTGTCCATGAGGCTGGACATCTCAGCTGCTCTTCAGTGTATGCCAGAGAAGTAGGCACCAATGCCAGTGAAGGAATGAACTTTCCAGTAAGCGTGGGAGCAAGCAGGAGGGCAAGAGCTTTCTTCTTCCACGTCCCTTATGTAACTGGCTCCAGAAGGAAGGTCCAGCATAAGGTGGGTCTTCCCCTTTAAATCCCACCTCAGATGATCCAATCAAGGAAAATCCATCACAGGTGTACCAGCAGCTTGGGTTTCACTTAATTCTAGATGGTCAAGTTGACAACCAAGAATAGCCACCACTCCCTCCAAGCTGTCTCTGTAAATGAATTCCATTCGTATTTAACATGACTACAAACATAGTTCTGAGCATATTAAAGAATTTGATCCTTTATAAGGTAACTGACCATTAACTTTTGTCTTAATCATCTTCAGGAATTATCATAGGATTAGAATTTTATGTTACAATTTTTGAGCTATTTTAGTGTGGTGATATTTTGTTTGTGTTCTGACAAATAAAGCTTGCCTGAAGATCAGAATGTGGAGCTAGCCATTAGTCCCGGGACTCTCGATTGAGCCAGGTTTGCGGGTGTATGGGAAGCTCTAGGAACCATCGACTTGGCAAATCTTAAGATGAGACAGAGGGGTCCTCCCCTGAGCCTCTAAGACCTAAGGAGGGTGCTTCCGAAACGGAGGTTAGAATCGAGCCTCGCTTCCAGCGACTGAGAGAGGAGGAAGCTTACACTCAGCCAGGAACCTAGTTTCCGTAGCAACCATCCGGGAGCGTTGCCTCTGTCTCGGCATCTCTATGGTTTCCGCATCCTAGAAGGACCGAAGCGCACTTCCGGGAAGATGGAGACACCCAAGTCTGATGTGACACGTGCTTTCACGGAGAGGACCGCGGACTGAAGGTAAGGGCTTTGTTTTCCTCAGGGGCGGGAGCAAAGGCGAGGATCCGCCAGTAGTTCCACGCTGCTGACTGCGGCTGTGGGGCTTGGATTTATAGCAGGAGGAGAAGGCGGCGGCGGCCAGCCCTGGAGCCAGCTGCAAACGGCAAACGGGCCGGAGTGGAGACAGCGCCGCAGAGTGTGCTTGCAGCCTTCACACATCTGGCTGCGGCTGCCCACGCCTGCCCTTTGCAAGTGCGTTGAAAGCGATTTCTACTGTGTCACTCAGTTCCACCCCGAAACGCTGAACGCATTCTTGTTGTAATTGTCAAGGGCTGGGAAATAAAACTTGTTTCCGGCTTCTGGGGAGTGTGGTTTTGAATTACTGTGTGGAGGAATAGGATGTGGGAGATCTTACAGAGAGCACAGCAAGCTGTAAGAGCCCTTTCTCCAGCTTATTCCTTGGGAGACTTGGACAGCCTGTGCCTGGATGTCACCTGTCACCTTCTGTTGGGTAGAAATTCTGCTCATCATTCTTAAACCTAATATATAATATTTTAGAAGCTCCAGATTTACTCCAGTAGTCCTTAGTGAGTTTTGACAGTTTTCCGTAGTCAGGATGGAGGCATACAGCATTGTTCCCAGCACTTGGTAGGCAAGCAGATCTCTGTGAGTTTGAGGCCAATCTGGTCTACATAGAGAGTTTCAGGCTAATGAGGGATACATAGTCTCAAAACAAAAACAAAAAGCAGTGGTCTCCTATGCCCATAACAAATGATCTTAGCACAGATTGATACTGGTAGTCTGTGTTTTCGGTGTGATGTGCCATCTTAACTGTTTTGGAGGCAATTTAGTGTACAAGTTGAATATTTGCCATTCTTTAGCATACAAGTTGGGTCCAAAAGGAAGTATGTGTAAGTTATTGTAAAGAAATGCAGTTACTTCAAGTCATTCAATTTGGGCTTGTGTTCAAATTGCCTAAATAGTTCTCTAGACAAGAAACCCAGGTCCTTTTTTCTTTACTTGTCGGATGAGGATACTACCTATTGGACAGGACTATCTATGAAGTATAATGAGGTGGTTTGATATAATAAATGAGGTGATAGTGTGTGACACCCTGTTGTAGAATATTATTTTAAGGTGTGTTACTTTTGTTTATGCTGCATTTGTTTAACTCTGTGAAGCTGTGTTACTGTGCCTGTCTAAAACACCTGATGGTCTAACAAAGATCTGAACAGCCAATAATAGTGAGGCAGGAGAAAGTATAGTCAGGGCTGGCAGGCAGAGAGAATATATAGAAGGAGAAATCTGGGAGGAAAGAAAGAAGTAGCCGGAGAAAGAGGAGGACTCCAGGGAGATACCCAGCTACACAGCAAGCCATGAAGTAAGAGTAAGATTTACAGAAGTAAGAGAACAGGAAAAGCCCGGAAGATAATTTAAGAAAAGCTGGCAAAAAACAAGCCAAGCTAAGGCTGGGCATTTATAAGTAAGAATAAGCCTCTGTGTGTGATTTATTTGGGAGCTGGGTGGCAGGCCCCCCCAAAAGAGTAAAAAAACAAACAACAAGAATACTCATCTTTGTTTCTTTAGTGTTCAGTTAGCATCCCCTTCCTAAGATGGACAGTTTAAAGGGAAGCTTTTGAAAGTGAACTTCACCGGTAATGTGTAAACGGAGGGTTTTCTCTGTCATGCTCCATTCCACAGCTGCTTACAAATAATCACTCAGAGGCTTAATATTATTTATAAATGCTTGGCCATTAGCTCAGGCTTGTTACTAATTCTTACACTTAAATTAACCCATAATTCTTATCTGTGTTTAGCCTTGTGGCTTGTTACCTTTTCTTAGTAGGGCATTCTCATCTTGCTTCCTCTGTGTCTGGCTGTGTCTGTGTCTGACTCCACCCTCCTTCCTCCCATCCTCAGTTTGGCTTTCCAGCCCAGCCTTATTCTGTCTAGCTATAGACCAAAACAACTGTATGACCAACCAAAGAGAGAATCACATATTCGCAGTGTACAGAAGGACATCCCACAGCAGTGATGTGGGAGGGAGGTTGGTTCCCACACCAAGACAGTACGAATGCTGGAGCATAGGTGTAGATGATAGACTCTCTTAAGTAATAGTTGCTAGCTCAAGTTACCAAATACCACATATCCTTTTCTACATGGTAATGTATTTGGGGAGATCGTACAGATGCTGCAGACAGGCTTCCTGGTTTAAGTTCTCCATGTTAGCCGGGCGGTGGTGGTGCACGCCTCTAGTCCCAGCACTCGGGAGGCAGAGGCAAGTGGATCTCTGTGAGTTTGAGGCCAGCCTGGGCTACCAAGTGAGTTCCAGGAAAGGCGCAAAACTGCACAGAGAAACCCTGTCTCGAAAA